AGTCGTTTTCTTTGAGCGATACTCGACGACCATCTTGGTTCGTGGGCGGATACAAGTATCTACGGGGGCAAAACTAACGGTAAAATAACCGACTGAAATAAACCCTTTAATGTTGCTTTTACACAAAATAATCTACATTTGGAAACAATTAAACTACAACCAATATGACGACTGTGATTGTTTTAGATATAGGGACGCATTTTCACAGGGTGAACACTTTTTGTACAGCTTCACCATAACACGTCACCCTGCAATGAACAGTGCTGGCTCGAAATAAGCTGTATAAAATGGAAAAGATTCACATGCGTAGAACGGATGACAGTGTAAATCTGGGAAGATCCAAAGATGCTATGACGTCATGGGTTTTACTCCATAAGCATAACGCACACTGTTACCAGCGATCGGGGGATCAACACTTTCGAACAAAGGCGTTTCCCAACCGGGTGTTGAAAAACTGCGGCTTCACCCATCCCGAAATTCTGTACCCTTCTATTAGTTTAATTTTATTTGACAACGTCGCCATAAAAGACCACTCTGCTGAACTTTTGTTCTGTAAATAGTATTGCAAACATCGATCCTAGTATTTAGTAAAAACGTCAGCTAGGGCAAGTAAACGTTCAATGTGAAAAAAGCGTCGAAGTCCCTTTGAAATTAAATATTAGCGAAAAACTTTACTGAGCTGTTATGCTCTCTTTCAAACCAGTCATATGAGAACATAGTAGATCCCTTTCCCGTTGCTGAGAATCTTCGTCCAAATCCTACCATGTTCCTTAATATGCCATAAAATCGCCGAGGGCAGACAAAATAAATCTTTGGCCATCGGACCCGCGCGCACCTGGCAGATCTAATATTTTTTTTTTGATTTTGGCTTTGAATAAATAAATTGATCGTTGGTGGTTCTGTGAGGTCCTTGCAAAATGCAAGATCTGGATGTTATTAACCGGATGGGAATCTGTTTAATAACTTAAGTGCAAGTCGAATGTGCATTATTTATTCACGTAGTCCCAAAGCGGGATTACACGCACGTACCGGTATTTTT